TTATTGAATACTTTTAAAGTCGTTCAGCGTTTCGTCGAGCTGCCTACTTGTTGAATTTTTGGTATTTACCTATTCTTGGAAAATAATGTATTAAAAAATTAAAGTAAGGAGCAATAATTATTATTACTAAAAATAAAGATAAGCTTCTTTTTTATATAGGTGTATAACTAAAGAAAAACGAAATTTGTACTTTTCTATAGTATATGTGCAGTTCTACACATATTTAATTTTTGCGGTTAAAGAAATAAAATTTTTGAAAACTCGGTTAACGCAAAAAACTATTTTGCATTCTAATAAGATATTTAATACTTTTTCATATTCTTGGGAAAATAATAATGAAACTCAATCCTTTAATATTTTCAGTGTGCACGATGTTATCAAAATATTTATCAACAATTTAAATAAAAATAAAAATTACAAATAAATTTTATGTTGTAATTTTTTCTAATGAATTAGAAATAGACATTTAAAACATACAATTAAGAAACACATAAGTTGTTATAAATGGACTTACCGCTTATTAAAAGGAGTATAGTGAACCGGAGGGTGCACCATGGGAAACAGTCTCTGCACATTATATAAATGCAACTACCCCATGCTATAGAGATCGTCGTCTTTTAGCCATGTTCGCCGTCTTAATTGCGCGATGACGCCGGACGCCCCGACGCCCTGCCGAACCTACCGTGCATAAACAAAACACGAACGATGGAAAATTATGAATGAAAAGCGTTTAACAATAAACAACAATAATAATAATGATGATGATTATGAAAAGTTTCCCTTATGAGGGGCGCACATCGACTGACGGCGGCGGAGGAAGCATTGGCTGGTGGTGGTGGAGGTGGTGGTTCTGACGGCGGCGACGGTGGTGATGGTGCGATGTCGGCGTCGGCGTCGTCGTTGGCGTCATCTTACCCTTCGGTCGTCGTCACGTTATTCGTGTTACACCGAAGGAAGGAAGGAAAAGCGAAGGAAATTGATTATGCGCGCACGACGTTTACCGCTTTATCTCCCAGTCCTTTCCTACTTCATCCAGGGATGGATTTTCGACTAAAGAAGAAAGCCTCCACGGCAGGAGCAGCCAATTTTTTCAATCAGATAAATCGCTCTTCTCTGAATAGAACAATTATTCCCTGTGAAAGGGGGCGAAAATTAACATACGATCGTATATCTCTTCCGTTATCGTTTTCATTTTTATAGTCATGTATTCGGCAAAACTGAAATAGAAGAACGAAAATTCGTTGGTGTTTTTGTACCTAATACCCTAATTAAAATCTTTCAGACTTATGCGCCGAAAAGCTTTTAATTTTTCACTCATTCAAAACGTTTTTGTTATTCCACTTTTTTACGCTCTGGATGGTACCAATAATGTTGTTTTCTTTAACAATTGTGGAACTGTAATAAAGTAATTATATTTAGTTGCATTTTTTGAAAACTTCATCTTACATATTCTAAGGTAAATACAAGCAAAGGAAAACTACGAAAGCGCCAGACAAAGAGTGAGTACAATAATTCATCACTGCTTGTCAAATAATTTCAACCTTACTCACTATCTCTTTTTTGGGGGTCATCATTTATTAAGAAGCGCATCCTCTTCAAGCTCCATCCATTCCTTTTCCTTCATCAATACACATCTCATCCCCTCCCAATATTAGAGATTCCCTCCCTTAGCCTCTAGTTTGTAAGAAATAATTTTTTGAAATTACTCTAATTCAAATCAAAGATTTTCTCTTTAGTTTTAAACAAGCAAATGCAATGTTCATCCAATGAACAATAATATGTATCTCCTGAATTGGAATGTTCAATAATCTATCGTATTTAATAAAATAAAATAACAAGAACTTATTTTTTTATACAATATATTGTCTAGCTTCTGGCATAATGAGTAGATAATTATTTTAGCACTTGTTGCAAAAAGAATCGATAATTATGCTGTTACTACCATAATAGCGACCCACACCGATTTCACATCAAATATTTTAAAAATTAAATTGATACGATTTCAATTCAGAAGGAAGAATATCAAATCAAGAAAGCATTTGTTTGGCATTAAATGTAAGTGACTGTAACTTATTACAGTTTCAAATTGACCACAACATTAAAAGTACATTTCCTTTCCCATAAAGCTTTTGTAAAGTAGAAACTGTATAATTTTCATAATTGCAGCAGTTTTAGAAATAAAGAACTTGGGAATTTTAACCACAGCCAAGATAATATTTCAAGACATTTCATACAAAAATTATAATAACAATTTTTACCCTTTCAAAAAAATGAAAAAGAAATTTCAGGAACTATTACCTATCCTCTCTTAAATGTTCATATAATTACCTTTTAATACCAAATATCTTCTTCTGTATCAGCGTTTTTCAAACCATGTTTCACTGATCTCCAGGGGAGTTTTTTGCCTCATTGTAATGTATTTCCTAAAGCAATCTCATGCTGTGCATTTATAAGTCCCCCTGATAGTCAGTATTGTTATACATTTTAGTAAACCACTCACACTCAATTGTAAGAATAAACTAGTTCAAAACTATGCAGACTATTTATTGGTATGCCAAACGTCAACAAAGAAAAGCAAAATGAATTTGCATTCTTTATTGAAAAATATGTATTAGGAATTGGGCAAATATAATTATTTGAATTACAATAAACGTAAAAACTAATTTAAGAACTGATATTTAAATAATATGTTTTGTGTATTCTTGCATTTTTGTAATTTGATCCAACTGTTCACTAATTTGTGCCGTATTTCGATCAATCCACTGAAGGGAATCCATGTGAACACTCAAAATGCGAGATATTTGAGAAATCTGCAATTAAAATGAGTTTTTTATTCCATATTTATTAACATTAATTGACACTCTTATTTACCGGGTCGGACATTTCTTGACATTTAGCTGATTCATTTAAATGTTCAATAACTTCTTTGAGGTCTTCAGACATCTGTTTCAACTGACTGTCCAAACTTTCTGCCAACTGATAACTAAAATTAAGCCAATAAATTTTTACTTTTCTTTTTAATGATAAGTATGTTTTACGTTTCATTCCTGTCAATATCTTGTACTGGAACATCTTGTAATTCTTTTTCTAATGGAATAATACAACTTTCTAATTCATTTTGCTGTGCAAGAACAAAGTCCAGTTCCTGATCTAGTTGCTCCTGCTGCTGTTTAACCTTTTCAATGTTGCTATTCAGTTGCAGCACCTACAAACAAATTTATCTTTAAACTTATGAATCAAACATAAAGCATTTAATACTCCTTTACTTTCTCTCCATTTGAAATTAGCAAGCAATCCCAAGCATTCAATTGCTTTGCTTGGTTGGTAAACAGTTTTTCCTGTTCTTCCAAATCTATAGTCCATTTGTTAATAGCATCTTCTAGTTGATTATAAGTAAGTATACCACTGGCAGGTAATGCAGACTCAGTAGATGAAGTTATGGCAATTGAAGAAGGGCTGCAAAATAAATTTAAATTAATTATCAATTAAACTGATATAACAATTAGTTGTTACATTGCTGCTGTTGCAAGTGAGGTACTCGTAGGTGTTGTAGAAAATCCAAAACTCAATGTAGGTTGACTTGATGGAATACTGGTGCTAGTAGTTGTGGTTGTTGTTAAAATAGTTGTATTTGGAGCAGTAGCAGTACCAGCAGATGCAGCAGATGAAATTGCTGTGGTAATATTTGCTGTAGATGATGCAGAGACAGCTCCAAGGGAGAAGCCTGTAATTTTATTGTAAATTATAGACCTAACAGAAGATTAAAAATTACGAATTTACCTGGTACAGGTGCTGCTGTAGCCAAATTTAACGAACTTCCCTGAGGTTGTACCGTTGCTGAAGTAGTTAATGGGCCTGCTTAAAATTAGAAAACAAATAAGCGTAAAACGTATCACTACATCACAACTACATGTCTAAAATCAGCTTACAACCATTTAAAATTCTTACCAATAGATGTAACAGTAGTAGTTATTGCTGGTGTAGCTGAGCCAAATGAAAAACTTGGTGCTGATGAAGCTGGGACTGCAAACAATGAAGGAGTTGTGATTCCAAACAAGGGTTTTGCCTGAGTGGTTTTTGCAGCATCACCTGCTCCTCCAGAAGCAGTTATTGTACCTAAAAAAAAAAGGTTTTATACACATTAATTTTAATTTGAATTGTTTATGATTTACTTGCTGAGGTTGTGAATGGAAACCCAGTGGACGCTTTTGAAACACCAAAAGTAAAAGACATCTCGTTAAGTAGAAGATAATTTGTTTAAACTTTTTCAAAATCTGTCAATTTTCCCAAATTATAACCAAGAAATATCACAACGTCAAAAACCATAGATTAGAGGGATGTATTCATGTCATTGGAAGTGGAGGGGAACACCGTGGTCTAGATCAATGATTACTTATAGTTACATTAGAGGGCACTCTGAAAAATTATTTAGTTTTCGTTTTCCTTGGAATAATCAGAAACATTTTTCATTACATATTCAGAATTCCTAAACGTTTTCCGATTGACTGAATACTCAGAAGTCTATTTTACAATTAAGTTTATGTTAATTACTAAATTGACCAATTATCAATCACAACAAAAAACCATTTATGCCCACAAAAATTCACAAACGATTGAAAGAATGAGTATAGCCATACTAGATAAGGCACCACCATACGTAAGGGTACTGTTAAATTACCTAACTTTCGAATTTATGTTGGCTATCCGTAAGCGTTAACGTATGAAATAACTATTCATAAATAATATAAAAATATTTNAGCCGTCTCACCACCTTGCATCTTCGTGATCTTGAAATCGACTCCCGACTCTCGATTTCTTATTAATTTCGATATATAGACGGTCGCTAATTGAGCTACTAACATAGTAGGTAACCAGGTGTTAGCTTGCTGTTTTATATAAACAATTTAGATGTACTAACTTTGTACCAGTGACCTATTCTGAACCTTAACTCTTTTAATCGACATAAGGTACGATATTAGATATTCTATAGGAATTAACATTCGTTTTGGTTTTACTTTTCGTTGTTTAAAATTTCGTTATTTTTTGTAAAAAAAAAATAAAAAACAAATACGAAATACAAAAGTAAGCTTCAACTTTCAAAGCTTCAAATTTTGGAGTTTCAAGCTATAAAAGTTTTGCTGTATTTCCCTAAACAAAGTCATTTTTTTAACACCTTGGGCACATTCATTTAGCTTTACTTACAAGTTTTAATGTGTACTTACAGACTATCAAGCTTACATGTAAGATGTAAATAATGCAAATTGAAAGTGTCAAATAAAATGAAAGAAACCATTTTTAGGGTCTTTTTCAAACATGTCAGTACCATCAGTAAAACATTAACGAAAATAACTTAAATTATCATAAGTTATCTCACAATATTTATAAAAACGTTGTGTAGTAAAATTTCGTTGGTGAAACTACACACAGAAAGAGATTAAAATACTGACTTACAGAATGGATGCTATCTTTATTGAAGAATTTAGTTGATAGTAGACTCCGATTTTTCAGACTACAGACTTTTAAAGTCGACGCAACCATAAATATGACAATATAAAACTTAGATCAAACTAGTTGAATCTTGTATTTCAGCAAAACTTATTGTTTCCATCGTCAGTTTGTGGTATTACAACAGTGATCAGAATCAACTGTTTTCATATACTTCAACGATTTTTTTAAAAAGTAAATTCTCATAATTAATTAATCAACAAACTTTTCCAGGAACATTCAGAAAAATGCGTAGTAAAACCCTTGCGAAAATCGAAAAATGAGAGGTTGATGTGACATGAGATGTTCCAAAAACAAAATGAATAAATTAACTTATTTCTACCACACGGCACTTTTCTTCAAAAGCGTATGCTTTATGAATAAACATAAGAATCACCCCATGTCATCGGTTTCATTTACATCAAGCTGTTACAAAAACAATATAAAAAACTACTTGTAATTGAAGTTACACCTTTTTTCCTCGACATGCCACAATTTTATGTATATCACTTATGTATATACATGCCAAAACCCACGCCCTTAATTACTAATACATAATAAGCTTTCATGTCAAACACAAACTACACCTTACACCATGAACACGGTAGACGTGCATCATTCGTCGAGGGGGATTTTATTATTAAGGGTATCTATTAACGCTGTAAATAGTAATATGTAGGTGGCGCATAGTAGGCCAGATTGTCCTTATTAAATTATAAACGACTGGACAATTTTGTCAAGAACGATATAGGTAGACAATAAAATTGTAGTGAAATTCGAGCAAAACTTTTTGCATACATTAAATTCCGTAAAAGAAATCGTTTTTTTTCCTAATTAATATTACCTATAAATTGCTATAATGTTTTGAATCCATAAAACAACAACTTACCACTCAACTTAATTTAACATATCCAGTATTGTAGCGTTAACAGGTGAGTTTTTTATTAGGATAAGACACTTCACCAGCACCGTACCGGCGACTGAGATGCTATTCGACGGTACCGTACCGGTGACTAAGAAGCTATTCACCGGCACTGCGGCGGTAACTAAGAAGCTATCCATCGGTCCCCGGTATCTTACATGGTTTATGAAACCATAAGACTAATTAGCGTAGTACATTAAGACTTTAAAAATCGTTGAAGTTTATTATTATTTTATTCCATTTCTCCAACTGACAATTGAGACGATGTTTATACAACGATTATCCCTGAATACCAAAATACCCCACTCCCCTAGTTTTAGCCAAAAACTACAAAAAACATACGGTAATTAAATCTACTTATATATCACTACATAGTATAAAACAAAGTCGCTTTCCCGCTGTCTGTCCCTATGTATGCTCAAATCTTTAAAACTACGCAACGGATTTGGATACGGTTCTTTTTAAAAGATACAGTGATTCAAGAGGAAGGTTTATATGTATAATACATGCATAATATAGTAGGGAAACACTGATAATTTTAGAGGTTTCTAATGTGATATCGTAAATAAACACATTTTTTGCGCTTACATTGCAAACGCTGGCTGAACCCTACGAGATAGATCAAAATAATGTACTA